CCACCCACCGCACTCAACCCCTCCCAGATTTTGGCCTATGGAGATGAATTCTAACATCAATTTTGACTGTGGAGCACTTCAAACTTTCTAACAGGCCAGCAGGAAAGATAGGGAGAAGTTCTCCTCTTTGTCTTCTCCTGGTGACATTCCCTTTTTTGAGATCCATTTAGAGAAGCTGGTAGACATTTTCAGCATGTTTAGCCATCTCCCCAGTCTGTTCCTTCTTTAAGACGTGCTCAGCAGGGACAACAGAGGGACAGATGAAATATTTGGAAATGATGATATTAACTCAGTTGGTTTTAAAATGAAATCAGATTGGATTAAGCTTCTTGTTTTCTCTTTGCCCCTGTTATTTTGCCTTAATTTTAACCCAAATCATTTTGAGCTTGATTGGGGCATTTCAAGTGCATATATTATTGAAAGTCATAACTGTTAGGGGCTCCTGGATAGATCTGAAGCTCTTCTTGTAAGGAATCACGTCGTTCCTTAGGAAAAATGTGTACATTTCTGAGAAAAGAGTTAAATGAGCCATCCAGCAGCAATTTTTAGGTTATTTTTTAAAACTGTTTGGAAAGACAATGAATAGCCGAGAAATTCAATACAGCGGAACAGGACCTGTGTTCAGGGAGTCCTGAGGACAAAAAATGGATTTCCAGCAATTTTATTTTGAATTCGCGGTTATACTTCCAGTCTGTAAACAGTTCAAAGACACAAATCCCTGGAGTTAATTCAGATGTACAGCCAATCCAGATCTGTGTTTTGCCTGCCCCGCATTAATGGACAAAATGGATTTTTTCCCAAAACCTGGCCTACAATATGTCTGTGTGAATGGGTTGCATCTTTATATGTCTGCTTGTGGCTGGGACAAGGGACGTTCAGGGCAGGGGCTCGGGTGTCCTCTGAGGTCGCCTTCCTTTTTCTTTAAATCACGATGGGAAGAGATTTAAGGAGGAAGACAGCAGAATTATGCCTGATCTTCTTCCATGGATTACGCTGTCCAAGAAAGACGATGCAAGCAGTGAACGGGGTTCCTCTTAGACGTGCAACAGCGCATCTCACTCTGATCTTTTTTCACCGTGGTCCACCTTCTGCAGGATGAGTGTCAATACGCCGGAAGAATCTTCCAAACTTCCCATTTTGAATTGGAAAACCTCTGCTCCAGCCTTCCTGGGGGATTTTCAAGCTGTATTCCAGCAAAGAGGTTCCCCAGCCACAGAAGGGAGTTGGGGGAAATGTGGACTGTGGTGGCCCTTCCTGAGAAGCCGAGGGTCGTGGCTCTAACCCTCTTTGAGAACTTCGCAGTTGACTTGCTCTCCCCGTATCCCAGCAGAATCCACCATCCGAGGAGACCTTCTGAACCCACCAGGGGAAGACCACCAGGATGTCCCCCAGGTCAGGAGCATTTGGGGAACAACTTGGGAGACAAACAAGATGTCATGAGGCAGCTTCAGAAAACAGCAACCCCCGCCCCCACCCCACCCCACCCCACTCGTCTCCAGCCCTCGCTTTCTCCCAGGGGTTCTGCCTTCATATGAAAATGAGGCAAGCCGATCTCAAAGTAGGTTGATTTCAATAGGAAAAGAGGTGATGGCAGAAGTGCCTGAAGCTAAGACATAACCTAGTTTACTATATGCAGAGCTCATCTGCAAGAAGAAAGGGAACTAATTAGGCTAGACGAGAGCCTTGGAGAGAGAGGAAGGCAGGGGGAGGGTCTTTCCATTCCCAGCAGAGTCCTTGCCCGTGGAAGGAGGCTGCCCAGAGGGACTCTGGATAACCTGCTGGTCTGGCCTTACCCTTTTCTTTTCTTACCACAGTCTCACAGAAACACAACGGGGTAGTGCTCCCCAATCAGACGGGCAACACGGATTATCTGAGCTGCTGAGAGGGTCTCTCTGTGGGGTCCTGCCTCTTCCTTCCAATCATTTGTTGGGGGGGGGTCAGTAAGTCCAGCCCGGATAGTCGTCCCATTTCAGCTTTGCGCAGAATATCCAAAGAGATCCAGTGGAAAATTCCTATTTGGACGTCCTGCCTTTTTCCGGCTAGAGAGAGCCGCTGAACGTCCCAAAGACCCGCTTTTCGATTTGCGGAGCGCCGTTAAAAGGCGCCATGCGCCAGATGAGAAAATGAGGAGTTGATGAAGGACATTCCCAGAGGTGACATAAGCTTCAATGTTCAGCTCGCAAAGCTCCCGCTGATTCAATCCTGTAACTCATGCAGATACACAGCTGGTGAACTCCTGGATGGGGCTTCCAAGAGTGAGCGAAAACTTCCATTCGAAAAGAAACATGTATGCTGTTCACATGCTCTGTGGCCCAGAAAGGGCTCCATTAAATCATCGTCAGGGTAAATACGGACCAAGAAGGAAAAACTCAGAGGGAACACAAGCAGAAATTTTAAACCTGGCTCATGTCTTAGTCTCCTTCCCGCGAAAGGGCCTACAATTCTCTAATTGTTACCCAAAAAGGGAGCAAATTGTGAGCGGAGACATTTTGCGGGGGTACAAATACAATTTCAGACATGCAAACCCTTTAATACGGGTTGCAAAACCGCAAAGCTAAAGGCAGCAATACACACTTCGAGAGGCCCAAGATTTGCTGGTTTCTTCCTAATTTTAAGGAGGATTTGGGAATTTTTCTTAGTGCTTTTATTTTTCTTATTTTTAAACAACATTAAGGGTTTGTTTCAGGATGCGCTTCAATTCGTCTGGGTCTTCCACTTAAAGGCTAAAAAAGGACTTTAAAAAAGGAGAACACGCAGGTTAATTTCAAGCTTCCTCCTTCGTCTGGGGGAATTTAAAGCCTCCCGTGATCCTGCAGGGTGCTAAAAACAGCTGGATGCTTCCAGTGGCTGGCATGGCAGTTTGATTGTCTTCAAACTGCCCCAAACTATGGAAACAGCTGCCCCAAATCTTCCAAGAAAGGAGAGCCCATCTATGTGGATAACACTGCCCTTGCCTGCCTAGAATCAACGTATACGGATAAATTTGTCGGGATTGGCTGCCTTTTTAAATCAGAAAAATGAATTCAGAAGATGAAAGGTGTTCCCACAAGGCCATATCGAACAGCTGGATTTGGCAAGGCTCGCATGGGAATAAAGCGGAAGGATTATTTTTCAAGATGCTTTAAAATCAAATCGGTCTTTTCTGCAGCTGTGGGACTTGGCTGGCTTAGGCATCGCTTTGGACTCCTAGGACATCGAATGCCCCCACGTCAGCACTCCCGAGCGTTCCCCAACCGGTACCCAGGAGGAATATTGGACCGCAATTCCCCCAGTGCGCGCCCAGCTTGAGAATCGTGGGCATCGCACCCCAACGTATCTGGAACGGCCAACATTGGGGAAGACCGCCTGGCGTGCTTTCTGCTCTCCGTTCCTCTCAGTGCCAACCCTTGGCATTCACCCACAGTGGTGGCAGAACGTCCTTACCAGTTTTTTAAGACGAGCGTCGTGATCAGCGCGGCGATTACCATGATGAGGGAGACGGTAATGGTGATAATCTGGTGGAGAGCCAGACCTGAGGAAAGAGGAAACATGAAGATGGAGACATCTTGGGCGCAGCTTGGACGGGTCGACTCCTGACCAGGTGGCCACCTTGCAACCCCTCAACCCCAACCCCTTCGGTAGGGCTCCCTTGCTTCCTAAGGAGAAGCCATGGAGAAAACCTCAGGTAACAGGTAACAGAAACTTCAAAGGGTTAATATTTCCCACGGCTGTACTATTAATAAATATGATCATCAAGCAGTAACATAGTACAAGGGACCAAAAGAAAACATCACCTCTTTGCAGCTCCTTGGGCATGCAAGTTCTGGCCAGGAACCAAGGAATGATCTAAGTAACATCTTCAGATACAACATGTCCCCAGCAGGATGCTTTGTTCATGAAAGCCACGGCTGAAAGACTGAAATGTCTAGTCCTTGTAAAAATCAGCTTGTTATTCCCCGTAGGATGACTTGGCATCCTCTTTTCCAATTCCTGTTATAATTTACAGAACCTGTGAGTCCTCTTGCTGGCTGGGGGATTCTGGGAGTTGAAGTCCACAAATCTTAAAGGGGCCAAGGTTGAGAACCGCTGGACTATAGTATGAGAATTCATAAAATGAGCAAAAGCAGCTTTAGTTTGGGCATAGTAGCATATCATGCAGTCCTGGTGAATGCAACATGAACCCAAAAGTTAGCATCGGGCTTTGTCTCCTCCTCTGAAAGACGTTTCAAGGGAAAATTCTCCTTCATCCAACAGAGAATAAGATCTGCCTTTTGAATGTCTTTCAAAGGACAAGAGAAGTCAGTGAATTGCTTAGGGGCAAAATGAGGGGTTTCTTTTTTTTTTTGCTTGGCTGGGCATGGGGACACCCTGGTTGACATTCCTAATTTTTACTCCAAACTCCCTGGGCGACTTTGGGCCGGTCGCTTGGTCTCAGACCAACCTTCCCCACAAGGTTGTTGCTGAGTTTAAACAGAGGGAACTTCCAGATAAAGCTCAAATAAAGATAAGTAAGCCTGGATCACGCCAGCCTGGGCTTTGGAGAAACTGGCAACCCTCGTGGGAAACAGACACCTTTCTATAGCCCCAGCTAAAGGATACACCTGTCCCTGAAAATAGGAACAAAGCACAGATCAATATAAATCCAATTTATTTTCATGTCTGCGTTATCGCGCAACATATTGCCCCAAAAGGTTTCCATTTCTTAAAAAACAACACCCTCCCCCCGCACCCACAGAAGTTCTCCAATTTTCTGAGCTTTTGCACCAATTCTCCTCTCTTCGACAGAGTTTTTAACCCCAATCTTTTCCTTGGCTCTTCTTAGTTAGTCCCAGATGCAGGGTTTTTAAAAGGCCCTTTTTCCCAGCATGATGACGATCCCCATGAGGTCTGCAACTTGTAGAAATATATCTGTTTACTTCTAGGGTGAGGTTTTTGACAAACCCCGCGTGTGCCCGCATTGGCACGTGGCTAGAGAAAGACATTCCCTCAGGACAGTTGGCAAGGTCACAAACATGGTGGTGGGTCTTGCCGATCTAAGAGACTAGATTGCCTCCTGGTTGGAAAGCAGCACTTCCCTGGGTCCCCCCACGACCCCTGGAAACAGCTGGAATAGATCCTGAATTCAACAGAAGCAAGGAAGATGCCATCTCCGAGTTAAGAACAGAGCAAGGGGCACGTCAGAGATGTCTGGATGTTCTCCTGTTCTTGCGGTTTTTCAGAGAGAGAAAGAGCTTTTAGAGCTTCACTCTAAACCCGGGTTAACCAAACAGAATAGTCTGGAGGGTCCCCACTGATGAATCATGATATTGTTTAATGTGACTGCCTGCCTAAGACGAAGGTTGGCCTCCCACCACACTTGACATTGAAGCTACTCTGGTCTAGGGTGTCGCACGACCCCAGCTACTCCGCTGGAAGAAGGAAGGGGTGCCAACTAACTGCTGCTGCACTGCGGGGCGAAGCTGCACCATCCTTTAAAAGAAAAATAACACCCCGCCCCAAGCGCGTTCCGCATCGGCTCCCCACCATCAATGGACAGGACAGGAGTTGGGTCGTCTTGCACCTGGATTAGATCTCCCTTGAGTCAAGCTGGGTTCCTGGGGAAGGCACCGCTGAGTCTTTGCAGAGGCACGGTCTGGCCGAAACGTCAAGAGGACGATGGTGCAATTAAAGCTCCACTTGGTTATTTTTTAAAAATGTGCCAAGGCCACCTGGGAGCTGTCCTCTGCTGCAGACAGAGTCCCGTTACCTGCGAAGTCCGTAGGACCGGGATGGGTGAAACGGCTCCAACGTGGCCGCAGGGACATGTCGCCGGACGAGTGGCGTCTGGGCCACGACGGGCGAGAAGCGATGCCTGCTCGGCACGTCCCGGTGTCGACGGAGAGTTGAGGGACGCCTTTGCCGCGCCGCTGAACTGATGTGTCACGACAGAAGGCTGTTATTATCCTGCCAACATCTTCCTTCGGGAGACGGTCTCTGGCAACGAAGGGCTGTTTGTGTTGATTAACTCCCCTCCAGTCCAAGAGGGCTCCTGTTGGGCCTGCTTAGCGCAGCCAATTGCAGCAATCCGGAGCTCCGGGAGAGGTCCAGCCGTGGCCAGTCTTTGGCTCCGATTCTCAGGTGGGAACCAGCAATTTCAGCAGGCTGGAATTTCTCCCTCCAAAGATCATGGGAATATGCATCCTTCCGTCATCCTGCTCTCCACTGTAATTTCCCCCACCGACCAGCGCTTGGGCAATCTTCGACGCCATTCGGGTTGCTGCAGCTTCTGATGATCTTTGAAGGAGGAGAGTTTGCTCAACTGAGCAGCCTCGGTGCAACCACCCACACTTGGTTATGTGATCATGCAAGAAGTGAGTGTGCGCATGTGTACATGGAAGATTGAATGTAGTATCTGTCTGCAGCTCTTTAAAACACCTACAGGTAGTCCTTGCTTAATGACCACAATAGGGACCAGAAAATTGGTTGTTAAGTGGGGCGGTCATTAAGCGAGTCACCATGTGACCGAACTCAATTTTACGACCATTTTTACGACAGTCATCTAGTGAATCATTATGGTCATTAAGCAAATCATGCGGTCGTTAAGCAAATCCAGCTTCCCCAATGGACTTTTTTGCTGGAATTCGCTTAACAACCACGTGATTCGCTTAACGACCATCATAAAAAAGGTCACAAATCACAATCACATGGCCGTGGTGGTGCAACAGTTTGCGACAGTCATAAGTGTGAGCACAGATCATAAAGCACTTTTCCCAAGGCCGTCATAACTTTGAACCATCGTTAAATGAATGGTCGTTAAGCGAGGACTTCCTGTACATCTGTTTCTGGGATTGCAAAGGGGATTGATATGGATGACTTGGCAAGAGAGAACCCAGCTGGAGAACACCACAAGTGGCAACTGAGTGGTGGAAAGCCCTTGGTTCACTCCAAGTGGTCCTTCTGCACCACTGAAAACAACATTTTAAGGGTACTTTGTGCTAAATCCGCTCCACATATGTGCTTGTAATATACCTCTGGCTGTCCACTTGCAAGGAGGGAGCGTGTCCTGAAGTGAAAAAAAACCTATGGTTGTTATCAGAGAGCCACTGATAAGTTCATAAAATAAAGCGTTAATTTTGAAAGCACTGTGTTTCTGTCTTTCAATAAAGAAGGCATCAGAGGTTTGCCACGGTAAAAAGCTGGGTGTGTTGAGCACGGAGCAAAGATATTCTTGTGCTGGGCCCCCAGCTCCTCCTCCTCCTTGCTCTGCCCTTCTGAACAGCCTTGACTAGGAGGTTAACTCTGTTTCTCATTAACGTCCGTGGCGAACAGCTCCTTGACAAGAGCAGAGAGCCAAAAGCAAGAGAGATTCGGTGAGGTGGAGAGGTCCTATGTGCCTAGTATGTGTGGGTGTGTGTGGGGGGGGTATGTGGGGCTTCAGTTCAATTCAGACCTATACAAATTCATTCGGAGCTATTCGGGAAGGGCAGGAGGGAGGGCAGATGCCTTTCTCAGAAGGGAGGGAACGCTCTGCAAATCCAGGCAAGACGGTCGTCCGAAATGACGCAGCCTCCAGAAAGGTGGCTGGACAGAGAAACTGCCTTTCAAAATCCAACTGAAAAGGAAGCAACGTGCGTCTGACACCAACGTATTGGCTCCCGCCTGGCTGCCTCCTCAGTGACAGGATGAAGGAGCGGGGCCTGAAAAGTGTCAGGCTCAGGATTTGCCCAACCATAGACTGAAAGCTTGTTAGAGGATTAAAAATGCACTGTCATGGGAACATCATGAGTCCTCCCAGAGAGAGACCGATCTGGTTCTCATCTTTCATCGCTAATCCTTCCGGTCACCATAAGACCTGGTCCACACCGAGCATTCAACCGCGACCTGCTTAATGTGGCTTGTTGAGTCATCCAAAATTGGCTGGGTGCAGAAAACGGGCAAAGCCCCAGACGTGCATTGACAAGCCATCATGTTCATGTTCAAACATATTAAACCCGGCACCGTTTTGCACGATGCAGTGAATTGGATTGCAATTACGTTGGGCGATCAAGCGTTTGCACCCTTCTGAAGGCTTTTCCAGTTCCTGGGGAAGGTTGGGGTGCTCTTGTGCCAATTTTGTGATGATGCGGCCAAGAGATGTGCGTCAGGTCCTTGGAGGACCACTTCATCCCACCCCTCCCTTGATGAAGAATTTCAGAAGGTGATTCACGAAAGCTTCATAGGGTTTGGGCATGGTGGTGTTCCAGATGGTTGACCCAGGTTTAAAGGGTTTATGTGAACCCAGTCAAAAGGACAGCACCTTTTCAGAAACTTCTGTTGTCCTTAGAAATATCACTCCAAACGGGAAAAGAGGGGGGTGGGGGGACAAGTACAACTGTCTGAAGCTTATTTTTGAGTTTTGTACTTCCATATCACATGCTGGAAAGGTTAGAAGGTACCTCGGAGATAATCTAATCTACCCCCCTCCCCAGTGCAGGAATATAACATCCCTGAAGAATGGCCCTCCAGCCTCTGTTGAAGCACTCCAAGCAAAGGAGACTCCACCACAGTTGAGCAGGTCTTCTCATTAGGAAATCTTTTCTGAAGTCCAACCAGCCTTTGTCTCCTTGTAATTTAAATCCTTTCCTCCTTGTCCTGTCTTCTGGAGCATCTCTGAAGAATTTTGTTCAACTTCTCCATGACATCCTTCAGAGACTTGAAGACAGCTGTCACGGGTCCCTGAAGTCTCCTCTCCTGCAGGCTAAAGATTCCCACTTGGTCTTCCCTCCAGAATCAAACCAGGTAACTCCACAGTCAAACCTGGCCAGGCTTTGAAATGAATCATATGCTCAGGAGGCCCTGTCCAGGCTAAAAAGGCCAGCCAGCAAAAGCCACTCGATCTCTTTTAGAAGCCACACTTTTGCCAAGACACCCCATAAAGATCACTCAAAGGCTTGAGGACACCATCACTGCCGAGAATCCTGTACAATAAAGCCAAGGTCACCTTTGTTAGTGTGAATCACTCCAGCAGCTGTTGCCAAGCTTCCTGGCCAATCATGGCTTGTGGGTGGCCATTTCGTAACCTTGCTCTCCTTCGAGTTGTTTTGTTAGCTCTGGTAAACCAGAAGGAACCCCTCAGAGCTGTAGCAGAGATGACTTCTGGTAGGAAGAGATGTCCTCAAATGAGAGAGGGAGTGATCCGGTGTTGGCAGCTGGGTTTCAACGAGAGATTCTTTTGCAGGGAGAGATTCAGGGTGTTTGGGGGGTATCTAAAAAGCATGAAGAACAAGCTGGAAAACTCTGTGAATTCCAGTCTGAAAGGACCTAAATTCATAAGCAGTGGGTGAGTGGGCCAGGAAGGGCGGATTAGATCTGGCATCATCTTCTGGATCTTCTCCTTCTCTGGATCTCATAACGGTGGTTGGGATCCACAAGCTACCGAGAGGAATATTTCAGGAAGAAACACATTTCGGAATGCCATGGTGGTGGCGGGGCATTTGGAGAAGGCTTCAAAACAAAGGGCTAAAATATATGTATGTATGTATGTATGTATGTATGTATATTCATAGTATCCAAAGGGGGTCGAATTCAACGGTGAGCCACGCAGGGGAAGTGCCACGGAACGGCAACCGAGGCTGGCTCCCACCGTGCTGAAATCAGAAGCGGAGATCTCTAATGCCGGTTGGCAGACGGGCCTCCTGCTTCATTCCTAGGAGACCCCGGTGCTAACGGTCCGTTTAGAAGTCTTTCAAGGAAGATTAGACAATCTGTGGAAGAACAGAGGTTTTGGGGTTTGGTTGTTTTTAGAAATGACAAGCCACCGCCAGCAGTTAATGAAACCTTCGCCGAGGGGAAAAACGTACCAGATGCTGAAGAGAAGCGACCAGGGAAGGCCGTCGCCTTCAGGTCCTTAGAGAGGTCGACAGGGGTTGGGGGAGTAGAAACAGCCTCCTACCTTCCCCGAGGAAGACCCTCCCCGCAATATAATTCTCGGCTTCTCTCCAGCATCTTGAAACCTCAGCTCTCCTTCTGTCTTAAGAACCACCTTGGAGGTCTTGGGAATCTTTGGGATCTTTTTGGAGGACTTGGGAATCTTAGGGATCACCTTGGAGGGAGAGGAGCAGACTCCACTTTTCCTATTACTTGAATCGAACATAACGCTATGCTCAGCTAGCCAACTCAAGGGTGGAACAACATGTTCTGTTTCAACCTTGCATCTCACAATTTGGCAGCGGCTTCGGAGCCAACGGAGGTGATTTACAAGCCTGGGGCCTGGAGCAGCTGGAGGGGGGGCGATTAACCTCCCCTTACATCTCTCTTTCCCTCTTGACAGAGGCTTTGCCTTCCCCAGCCCAGACTCCAGATTCAGTTTCCTTTGCGAATCTCTGCTTGTAGGGAGGCGGGGGGAGGAGGAAGGCGGGCGGGAGTGGGAACCCCTCCGCGTGCCATGAAGAACAGGGGACCGTTAAGGACAGGGGCTGTGCCAAAAAGTGCCACCCTGCAAGGTTCAAAGGTTGGGTCCAGTTTTCCCCGAGAGCTTTAATGAAGTGAGGCAAAGATGAAAGCGGGCCTAAGAAGCTAAACTAAACAGTAAGAAATGGGATCGCGCAACCCAGTGAGGCAGGCTAAATTGTGGTCTTAGGTGTTGCGGGCAACCCGGCTGTTGCTTTCATGCGTTCGATGAATCCCGGCTTTGGTTGCTTAACCCAACGTGTTGCTCAACCTGGTTTGGAACCCAGCTGGCTGCTGCTTCTAATTTTTCTCCATTTTTTTTTTCCAAGGCCACTGGACCAATCGCCAGCAAATGCAAAATGCTAAAAGGGAAGGCATGTCTGGGCACGTGCTAACAGAACGTTCCATGCGCTCTCCTTGGGTTGGTGGGCTCCATCTATCCACAGGCCTATGGAAACACCCCGCTCGAGGCCAGCCAAGCACAATGTTAGAAACCTCCCAAAGATGCGCCAATGCGCTGGAGCATCCGTAGACCTTTCTCCAGCGCAAATGCTCAGACTCATCCAGGAAAGCTGAAAGGCGCCAAACACAGAAGGACCGGCGTCTCCAAGCAGCACATGACCTGCAGAATTAGGTACCGTAAGAAGGCTTTAAAAATGGATCCCTCCATGGAGAAGAACAAGGCCATCAGTGGCCAGCTACCAGCTATGGAGTTTCCACATGGGCAATACATGTAGGCAATACCATAGGAGTTATTGTGCAAACCCATATCTCTGTATGGGCTTCCCCCCCGCAAGCATCACGGAACCCAGAAGTTGCAAGGGATGGGCCTGTCATATCCTTGCTATGGAAAACGTTTCCCAGATGTCGCTGAATATATTAATAAGGACCACTTTTTAAAAAAAACCCAATGGCCAGTTTTTAAAAATCATATGTTAACGTCCGTGGGAGTTAAGGAAGTATGTGGGAGCCAAGGCGACTTTCACTGATCCTGCACAGGCTTGTCTGATGGTCTGGCGTGGGCAGACGAGGCCTCGGCTCTTCAAACGCGGGGCAGGGTTTTCTGGAGGAGCTTTGGGTGATTTTAAAGCCCTCCCCTCCCCGCCATCTCTCCAGCAATGGCACCCTTGGGCTCCTGAACGGAGGCCCGCTTCCAGCTCGCCTAGCTGTCTCTGGTCTGGGACTGGGCTACGGTTCCAGTTTCAGGTCTGCAGACGGCGGAGCTGATCCCAGCTTGGAGGCGCCTGGCTGTTTACAAATGAGGTTCTTCGTCTCTCTCGGCTGTTGTCCTCGGAGGGAGTAAATTAAGCCGGGAGATTTGACGCAGCTTTATGGCTCAGCTGCTGGGATGAAGACTCAATAAAGGCTAAATGTGTCTCAGAATTTCTTTGTTTTTCAGCAGGACTTACAGGGGGTGGTCGGAAGAGGCTGTAAGGGATTCGGAGCAGTTTCTAACTCGATGGCCTTCCTCCAGCCCTCTCCTTTCCTGGGCTAAGTCAAGGTTCTGACAGTAGAAGACATAAGACAGACTAACTATTAGAGCTAACGCTGAAAACGTTCATTTCTTTGTTTAAAATATTTGTATAACGCTCTTCAGAGGAGCCTAAATTAAAGTTGCAAAGGCATACAACTTTACGATGGAAGCTGGTGTTTGTCCTTTTGACCTGGCTCTTCAGAGGAGCCTAATCTTGGGGTATTTCCATTATCCAGAACTTGACTCCTCTTAGAATGGTCAAAGTCCAGGAATCAAGTAAGATGGAGTTCCAAAGGAAGGACCTCACCCAAGCATGTGACAAAGGGGATAAATACGTCTATCCAGAGAAGAGAATATCTGTAGCTCAGGATTGAATTGTGGAGGCCCTTTGGGTCTCTGGGGCTTGTGGGGTTTTTTTAGGTGTGTTTGTTCCCCTGGTTGGGGAACAAACGCAAA